AGTAGGCCGTGCCTGTGCTGCTTGGTGGTATGTTAAGCGCACGGTGCAGGTAGGCAGTATGTAGCGGGGAGATTGTTATGTTTGGAGCTAAGATGGATATGGGAGAGAAGAGAGAGGAACAGGAGCCAAAAATACACAAATAAACAAAAAAGAATGTTAGAGGAGCTTTCTGTTGAGTGGAGAGATGAGAGACTATGAAATGGAGAAAAACAAAAAGGGGAAGAGGAAGAAAAAAAGAAAAGTAAAGAAAAGAATGAATAAATAAAAATCGGAAAGGGAAAAGAACAGCAAAGTTCCCAGGGATCCCACCGGTGCGGCTATGAGATCTGGAGAAGTTGTTCTCAGGTGTTGCAGTAGAGCCTGGCTAGAAGGCGTAGAGGTATACAACACCAGGTATTCGGGGAATAGAAAGACAAGGAAGATATAGAGATACTAGAAACTGAGTAATGAAGAAAGACCAAAAGGGAAAAAGAGAGAAGAGAAAACAAAACAAAGTAAAAAAAAAAAGAGAAAAAGAGGAAGAAAAAAACCCCAAAAAACAGAAAAAACAAAAAACGAAAAAAGAAGTGCTCTCAGGCATCCCTCTGCACATCTGTGCAAGCCGAGGGGGTAGTTTCCAAGCCACGCAGCACTGCCTGGCCAGAATGGGCTCCCAACTCAAGAAAAGGAAAAGAAAACAAACAAACGATTCAAAACAAACAAATGAACAAAAGCCCCGGGATGCCATCAGCGCAGCAGCCCAGACCGGGAAGCAGCTCCACACTTGAACGGAGGTCCGCAGCCCCTCAGGAAGAAGCAAAGATGGCGCATGGAGCCAGGTATTTGAGCGAAAGGAGGGGGAGGTGGTGAGAGGTAAGGAAGAAATCAAAAGAAGTGGAAAAAAGCAACACCAGCAGCCAACAAATGGCACTCAGAGAACCGGCCCGTTCAGGTGGGTGGAATCCAAGCAGCTGGTGCTTCCTAGACAAGAGATTGTGGCCGCGGGAAGCAGAGGCGGCTGAGTGGGAATGAAGAAGGGTGGGGTTGGGAAAGTGTATATCGCAAATTACCGGTTGTTTTGTCTCCGGCTGGAAGCTCCGTGAAGCTGCTTTCTCGTACCCCCGTTTGCTGGTCTCGGATAGGAGTCCAGGATGGCAGATCTGTGCTGCGTTAGCTGACAGGATGTCTGCATGAATCTCTCCTCGTTCTCCGTTCTCAGTTTTCTCACTCCATTTGGTGCTTGGCTGAGTTCTTTATCTCTTCGTTTGATGTTTTAGGGTTTTAGGATTGTTGTTTTCTCTGTTCGGCTTAGTTTTTCAGATCTTTGCTGTGGAGGGACGGTGTGGTGCTTCTGCCTAGAGCGCCATTTTGCCGGAAGTCCCCAGCAGGCCTATTTTAAGGAGCCCTGGTGGCGCAGTGGTTAAGAGCTTGGCTCCTAACCAAAAGGTCAGCAGTTCAAATCCACCAGCCATTCCTTGGAAACCCTATTATGGCAGTTCTGCTCTGTCCTGTAGGGTCACATATGAGTTGGAATCGACTTGAGGGCAATGGGTTTGTTTTTTTGGGCTTATTAAGAATGAGACCCCTTTTGCTGAAGAGTTATTGTGCCTTCCTTATTCGAAGTAGCTGCTTTGAGCTGTTTGTCATATCAGGTATGCAAATTGGTTTATCTCAGAATCCACAAAGGTTCTCCATTTATCACTTTTGAAGATACCAGTGCTTTAGTTGTTTTGCATTTCTTCCGTTTCCTTTGAAATGTTAGGCCTTTGAATTGAGTTTAATCTTTTGTAATCAGACATGTTATTTTAGAAAGACTGGTAAAGCTAGTCTGATAAGTCCTTTTCTGGAACATTGAAAATGGAAACCAAAACCAAAACCTAGGAGCACATTCCACTTCCTGGAAGACTGTGCTGTAGACTGGTTGTGGGCAGTGTAGTGGCTGCTTAGTCAGTAAATAAGAAAATAAACCTTTTACTGTGGTAATATTTTTCAGTTTTTATTCCTTTGGAATGACCTCATATGTTGAATGGTAGTATAATTTAGTTATTTAAAAGAAATAACTAATTAAATACATTTAGTATAATTCTCAAAAGTAACAATCAGTAGTATTCCCTCTCGCCCTCCCTTACTTTCTTTTGAATTGTTTTTCAAAAGGTTTCCTAAATACTTGAGGCATTAAAAAATGTTAGACTGAAATAACACTATCTGATTACTTCACACTTCCACTTATTCCCCAGGGGCACCAAACACTTTCTAAAGTACTCACCCTGAAAAAAAAAATCTTAGAGCAATGATAACGAAAAGCTCCCTTAGTGACCAGGTTGTTGCCACTTGCCAAGTGTGGGGAGAAAAGCATTCTAGGCAAAGGAGACTGGAGCGACACTTAAATTTGAGGAGCACAAGGAAGCCATGTGGGCTAGAATAGAGGGATCCAGGAGGAAATTTAGTGAAGCTGCCTCTGAAAGGTGGAGACCATGTAGGGCTTTTTACTGTCAGTAATTTGGATCACATGGGGAAGTTTTGAGCAGAATTGTTGCAGGATCTGACTTACATTTTAAAATAATTATTTTAGCAGTTTATTGAGAAGAGTATGAAGAGCAAGTGGTGGGGTGGTGAAGAATGGAAGCAGAAATACCACCAATCAATAGGCCGGTGGTTCAGATCAAGATGGTAACAGAAAAATGGAGTGAAGTGGTTGGATTTTGGGTATATCAGGATTGGCTGCAGTATGGGACAAAGAGGAATCAAGCACAGCTCCAAGTGTATTTGCCAGAGGAACTAGAAAGATCAAATTGCCAGTAACCGACTTGGGAAGTCTAGCATAAAGTAAGCTTTGGGAAGTTCAGTTTAGGTTAGGACATGTTATATTTTAGGTATCTAATAGATGCAAACAGTGTGCGCCGTACTGCTAACCTAAAGGTTGGCAGTTGAAACCCACCCAGTGGTACCGTGGAAGATAGGCCTTGCAATCTGCTACTGTTAAGATTACAGCCAAGAAAATCCTACGGAGCAGTTCTATTCTGTAACACACAGGGTCACCATAGTTGGAATCAACCCTATGGCAACTAACAACAGCAACAGTAGCCTTCCAAATGAACGTATTTAGTAGATAGTTGGCATATGGAGCACAGGTGGCACAATGGTTAAGCGCTTAGCTGCTAACCAAAGGTCAGTGGTTCAAACGCACCAGCTGCTCCACAGGAGAAAAGACCTGGTGATCTGCTCCTGTAAAGATTATAGTCTAGGAAATCCTATGGGGCAGTTCTACTATGTCACAAAGAGTTGCTGTGTGTTGGAATTGATTCGACAGCACACAACAACAAATTGGCAAATACGGGTCTAGAGTTCTGAGAAACAGTCTGGACTGGAAAAATAATTTTGGTAGTTATCAGCTTTTAAATGGTATTTAAAACCATGATACCAGGCATGATCATTGGTGGATGTGGGCAGAGAAGAGGTACGAGGATTATGCCCTGGAGCAATTTACTTGTTTCGAGATGAGAAGGTTTAGAAAAAGATGTTGAGGAGTGGGCAGTGAAAGTGGTGTAAAATCAGAAGAAATTGTTTCAAGGAGCAATCACCTGCTTGCAGTGTTGTCGGTAGGTTAAATGATAACAATGACTGGGAATTGGCCGTTGGAATTTAGCAAAGCATAGTGGAGGGATGGGGGCAAAAGCCTAATTGCAAAGAGAAAGCAAGAGACTTCGAATCAGCTAGTAATCCCTTGGTGGTGCACATGCATTTGGCTGCTAACTGAAAGGTTGGAAGTTCACATCCACCCAGATGTGCTAGAAGAAAGACCTGGCAATCTTCCCAAAAATCAGCCATTGAAAACCCTATGGAGCGCTTTCTACTCTGACACACAAATGGATCGCCAGGAGTCAGAATCAACTTGACGATAGTTGCTTTTTATTATAGACAATTCTTTCTAGAGTTTTGCTACAAGGGAAGTAGAGAAATAAGTGGGACAGTAGGTAGAAAGGAACATGAGGTCAAGTGGGGCTTCTTTAGTGGTGAGAGAAATAATTGTGAAATGATGGCATGTTTGTATGCTGATGAAATGACTCAGTAAAGAAAAATTGATATTGAAGAAGTAGGGGAGAAATTGTTGTCAAAGTATTTGTATCGGCAGAAGATGTTTGTGTCTCAAGCACACATATGAGGGATTGGCCTTAGCAGCATGGAAACTATTCATCTATAATGTAATAGGAAGAAAGGCAGAGTGTATGGATAAAAGATGAGGAGATAATGGTAGAGGAAATTATGGAGGTTAGAAAGGAAGAGGTTAGAAAGGAAGAGGTTAGAAAATAAGATTATCAGCTCAGAGCAGAAATTGGGAAGAAAGTTATTGGGGAATCGGTGTTGGAGGTTTGCAGAGACAGTAGAAGATACAAATACTTGTCTAAGACGGTGGAAAATTATATGGTCTAGGAGCAAGGTTTCTCGGCTTTATTGATATCTGGGACTGGATCCTTCTCTTGTAAGGGACTGTCCTGTATGTTGTAGGATGTTTAGTGTATCCCTGGCCCCTACCCACTAAATGGCAGTAGCACTCTCCCCAGTCTGTTGTAGTCAAGAAGTGTCTCCAGACATAGCCAGATGTCCCCTGGGATCAAACATGACCTTAGTGGAGAACCACTGGGGTAGGGAAATGTCATATGATTGTCAGGGAGTGTTAACAGCCTAGGTGAGGTTCCTCATCATGAATTTGACATGTGATTATTCAGCGTGGTTCTGTTACACTCACCTGCACAGGTGCAGGCATAGAATAGTCAGAAAGACTTAATCACGGTTGGGGTTTTGCCAGATGAGTACAATGAAGACAGGAGGAGAGTCAGGGAGTGAGTTTAATAATTGATCATTGAATTTAAAGTGGATGAGGATGAAAGTGAGGAAAGAGATGCTGGTATCAATCGATTGTAAATACTCCTGGGGCAAAGGATTATTAGAACCGGGGTTCTAAAGGGAGTGACATAATGTTAGGGGTTTTCATAAATAAGCTACTCCATGTTGATGTCTAGGAAGGAAATCCCAGATGGAGGAAGTGCAAGATGAGCTCATCCACAGACTGACCATTGGTCGGAGCAGTGCTCAGAAGAAGTTCCATGTGCCACGGCAGAATGTGCCAGTTGTTAACATCACTTACGACTCCACGCCAGAGGACGTGAAGACGTGGTTACAGTCGAAGGGATTCAATCCTGTGTAAGTCTTTCTGGGAACAGTTTACGGTTCTGTATGTAAGTCATGCATTGTTCTCATTTTGGTCCCTGAGATATCACAAGTGACTCTTAAAAAATAATAAGAGCCCAGACTGCACTTGCTGCATACTCAGGAAACGACTATAGCTGTTTATAGCTAAAAAGAACTGGGAAAAGCAGAAATAGCTATCATTTGATGGCACCCCATTTTCTAGTTGGGGATATCTTTTCATCCTTGGTTACTTAAGCCAATAGCAGTTCTGAGACCTGCTAGCTTTCTTTCTCCCTTCTCAGGTTACACAGGGTAGGACTTCTACTGCAGGATATAGTATCTCAGGCAAATAAAAAATAGATAACCTTACCTGTCTTAGATTATAATCTAATAGAACTTTTCATTTAGTAACATGGTAAAGGTTCTATTACCTATAATCTAACAATTTGTAAACATTGTATGTGTTTTTGGTGCAGTGAACTGTTCGAATATAGACCTTGACATATTATAAAGTCATTCACACAGCATGATTGAAAAATGAGATACCCTGGTTAGATGCCTGGTTACTAGAATGTGATCTGTTCCTTCTATGAAACACCAAATTTCAAGGAATAAGAATTAAACATAATACACAGTAGTGATACTAAACCCAATTTGCTCCTTTTTCATACTTTATAATCAATGAGCATGTATCCTCAGGGCCATCATCATGAAATTTGGTAGTCATTGTCCTGACAGAGCACTGTAGTGCCGTTTAGTAAGATCTTCAGTTCATGGGACACTAGAACAGACACGTTACTAGCAGGACCAGAAACTTTTCTCTCTTTTCCTTTTTCTAGGTAATATTTTTAATGCTGCGTTTCTTTCTTTCTTTTTTTCAGGACTGTCAGTAGTCTTGGAGTATTAAATGGTGCACAACTTTTCTCTCTCAGTAAAGATGAACTGAGGACAGTCTGCCCTGAAGGGGCCAGAGTCTTTAGCCAAATCACTGTACAAAAAGCTGCATTAGAGGTACGACTTGTCAGCCTAAGGTGGTGGTCTTCTGCATTAGTCAAGAGCATGAACTGCAAATTGAAAGCTCTGGAAACAACTGTATATGTCAGTATTGGTCAGTGCCCCCCTTCTACAGAGCTGAATTAAATTCGACTCAGCTTTTGTAATTTGTTGCTGGAGGTCTTCAATGGCCGTTTGCAGGGAGATTAATTTGTTGTAAGCGCTCACGCAAAAGAAAGCTTGAACATATACTTTTAACAAAAAGCTTGATGTTTGAATTGTATGTGCGGTGATTAGTTTTGTAGGCATTTTAGTTTTGACACAGTGATGGGCTTTCCCTTCTGAGTGAGTAAATACCTTAACAGACCAGAACTCTTTTACCTCTTCTTAATATTTAATTCAGAGCTTCTAATAGGTTATCAGTTATAAGGATTTAAACATGTGGCTGTGTGTCTTAGGCCTGGTTATACACCTAAATAATTGGGGAAAAGATTAGGTAAGGAGTATTGAAAACTGAGAGCCCTTAAGAATCAGAATCTAGTCATTGTTGTCCGTGTGAAAGCAGAGGAGCAAATGTTTTCTAGATTGGCTGTACTTAAGCTTCCAGTACCCTGCTTTATGTAAAGTAAGCTGTGTAAGGGGAGCAGTTTCCAGTTGTTACATTTCACAGGTCCTAATAACTTCCATGAAAATTATACTTGGACTTAAATAAAAGGATACAGACATTAGAATAAAATTGATAAAGTTACCTTTTACAGGCATATAATAGGCATATAAGTTCAACAATTAATAACCCAGACTAAAATAGCTTCATGTATACAGCCCCATAACTATTCTCATCTTCCCTTGGAAGCTTTTCCTACATTTATTTTGGGGCCCTACTGGTGGTGCAGTGGTTAAGCGTTCGGCTGCTAACCGAAAGGTCGGCAGTTCAAATCCACCAGCCGCTCTTTGGAAACCCTATGGGGCAGTTTTACTCTGTCCTGTAGGGTCACTATGAGTCAGAATTGACTAGATGGCAACGGGTTTGTTTTTTTTGGACCTTAGGGTTTGATATGATTGCTTTCCATATGTGAAATATGTATAAGGATTATAACTTTTCTGAAGTACTTTTGTTACTGTTATACATTCTAATTATGCTGAGAGTGTATAAATTACTTATTAAGGGGTAGCAGCTGGGCTCTTAACTACTGCACCACCAGGGATCCATCTTATTAAGGGTATGATAGAAAATTCCATGTTCCTAAAATTTCCAATTTTTTTTTCGGTCCAGAAATGCCTAACACTGTCATTTGCCCTCACCACCTATTTCATCACGGTCTCTTGCTGCCCATTCCATTGGGTGTGAATCAAGGCAGAGGCTGGCTATCTGAGACCCCTCACATTCCTCACTGGCCTTCCCACCTCATGCTTGTCTTGGATCTAGCTTCATCTTTTAGATTAATCCCGAGTTGCCAGAGACTTCTGTTGATGGAAGTGGAATAAGGAGGGTGCAGAGAGATTGTAGGTAGGGCTGAGAAAGGAGAGAAACCAGCATGATGTCAGAGGGTCAGAACTGGATGGAGGGAAACTTGGCATATTCCCAGCCCATTCTGTTTGGCCCTGATTTAAAATCTTCTAAAGAGAGATGAGTATCTTGCTTGAGCTCAAAGAGGGTTCTTTGATAATCTACCATCTTAAATTGTGCTGACTGTACACACATCCTCTTTCTCCTAGGGAATCCAGAGCATTTTACATGTGTTATTACTGATTTATTGTTATCATGTGTAAGTGACAGGTATGCGGAATGAATTGCTTTAAGACATTTTATAAATGAAAAAATTATTAATGTGACATGTTAATGAAGCCCGGAAGCATTACTTATATGAGGGGCAGCCTTCAGTTTTCCTCAAGAGATATCAAAAGAAAAACACAAAGGACTTTCCCCTGAGCTGTTTCATTACACAAACCAGTAACCACCTTGTCTGAACCCTGTTTATTTTTCAGGATAACAGTGGCAGCTCCGAGTTGCAAGAAATTATGCGAAGACGGCAGGAAAAAATCAGTGCTGCTGCCAGTGATTCAGGAGTGGAGTCTTTTGACGAGGGAAGCAGTCACTAATTTGTTTATTTGTTTGTTATTAAACTCCATTATTCCTGGCATTATTCCAGTGTGCTTTGTTTTAAGAAGCCATGAAGGGAGTGTCATATTTTTATTTTTCGGTACAGTTCATTTATCGCCATAAAGAAACAATGCAAACCTCAGTAAGCAGAGAACTTGCTTCTGGGCCCATTATTTTTTATTACAACTGAAAACTTTTAAACTGAATTTTTTGCCCTTGAGAAATATTTTGCCTACTTCACCAAGGTGAGGTTTTATTGGATTAACTATTTCATCCACATCTGTGTATAATCAGGAATTTTTTGACAGCGATGAGTTTATTTATTGCAGCAAAGCAAAGATATTGCCCATGATTTAAAATCTAAGCGATTTCAGTTGGAGCTGTCATACCGTGTCTGTCATTTCAAGTGTAGCTCACTTTAGGCTAGCCTCTTCTTTCTCAGGTCTCTTCCCTGACATGCTCAGTGATAGAATATTTAGATTTATGTAAAGTTCTTCATGCCAACAATTAAAAACATTAAAACATTTGAATGAACTGTTAAGTACGAGACCTTGAACAGACAAATAGAAACCTATGGAGCATTCCCCAGACATCTGATTTATCATGGCTCTGTTGATTGTAATTCCTTGTATAGCTTGTATTTTGATTTTGTTTATATTCTGCTTATTATGTATACTGTGTTCTTATACATGAGAAAGCACAAGTGGAAAAGAGGTCATACTCACTCAAAATCTGTCCAAGAAAGTAGCCTGCATCGATGTGCGTTCCAGTATTTTGCTTAGCGAAGGCCTCAGTTCTGAATATTGATATAAACCGTTAAAAAGAAATTGGAGTCATTCTATGTGTTTATCTGTGTCAAGTTTTTCTTGTAATAAGAAGCACTTAATTTTCACCTATTTTAATCCTGTGAAAGATTCTAGATAGAGAAAAGAAAGATACCTGTCAACAAATGTTATTTTTGGAAACACGATTTTTGTCATTAAATGTTGTATTATTTCACATATATAAAGCAGATGTTATGTAAGAATGTTGTATATTTTAACATAAATCCATTTAGGGAGATTGCCTAGATTCATTAATTTTCATAGTGCCTTTTTCACATGAGTCAGCTGGAAGGTCTGCAATAAACAGTATTTGCTGTATGTTAATAAGTGGTTTCTGTCTCTTTGGCAAAAAAAGATCTTTGTTAGGTAGAGTAGAGACCTCGGTTGGGTGGAATGGGAGAAACAGGTTCGTTGTTTTTTTAAACTAGTTTCTAGTCTGTTTCTGAATGGGTGAAACACTAGAATACTTTCCTCAATCATTTTCTCTTCTTTCCACCTCTCGTTTCACCATCTTTACCTTCTACTGTCTCGTCAGTTGGTCACAGTGGTAAAAACATACTATACAACATGTATGGTTGCTATGTGCTTCCACAGAGATGCTTTATTAGATGCCTACAATAACTCCGTAAGTTGTATTTTTATAGATGAGGAGACTTAGGTTCCTAGGGCTAATTAATTTTCCCAAAATCAGGAGGGAATTCTTTCCTTCCATCTGTCAGTCTCTCTATAACACTGCCCCTCCGCTAAAGTGGAACAATGGTGAGAAAGAAAAAGAACTATTTTAAATCTTTTCTAATTCATAAGCACTGACACACAGTTACAACTTAGCCTTTATTGAAAATTTTTGAAAATACAGGGATAAGACAAAAGAAAAGTTAAAATACTGACTGTGTAAAGTAGTTTATCTGTTAAAAGAATTGGTGTAATTTATGGGTATGTTTTATACTATAAAATACCAAAATTAACTATCACAGAGGTAGTAATTGCAGAAAGCATTTACCAACTTTAGTGCTCTGGGGACAAAGAGAAGAGTTAGGATTAATGGAATTTAGAAGCTTGAAGAGGCCCTACAGTGTTTGCATCCAGACATCTAAGCAGTTTGGTATGGGTTTCTCAGAAGTTTGGAAGAAGGACCCTACAGAGCTGATAAACCTCTGAGAAAGTGGCACAGCATAGCTGGTGCTGTTGCCTCATTAATTGAGAAAAGAATTCAGGAAATCTGTTCAGCTGGACTTGGACCTCTCTGGACAGCATGCTGGCCAGTTGGTGCTTGAATCTCTTGAGTGGGTACAGCGAGGCTGGTTCTAGGCATGTGAGGAATACATTTCAAATGTATCATAATGTTCTTGTTAATGCTATTATTTTCATAAGTTCTAAGTTAGTTTTGATGGAGTTATTCTTTCTTCATTATGGGTCTTATTTTCTTGCTTCTTTGTATGCCTGATAATTTTGAATTGGATGCCAGACATTCTGAATTTTACCTTGTTAGGGGTAGATATTTCTGAGTTTCTATGTATATTATTGAGCTTTGTTTTGGGATGCTGTTAATTACTTGGAAAGAGTTTTATTCTTTCGTATCTTGCTTGTAAGCTTTGTTAGGTCGAACCAGAGCAGCATTTACTCTAGGGCTAATTTTATCCCAATACTGAGGCAAAACTCTTCTGAGTACTGAACTTATTATTACATGAATTACAATGTTTTCCACTCTGACAGATGGGAATAGGAACTCTTCTTGGTCCTGTGTGAACTTTGAGAATTGTTTCTTTTAATCCTCTCAGGTGGTTCTTTCCTCACCCTTGGGCAGTCTTCTCATATGCGTGCGTGGATTTATACTTAGCTGAAGACTATGAAGACCCTATGCAGGTCTCTCCTCTGCAGTATTCTGTACTTTGAACCCTAGCTCCCTTGACCTTCATGGACTCTACACTTTGTCTACTCAACTTAGAGAGTCTGGTGGACTCCATGTGGGTTCTCTCTCCTTGTACCACAGCTTGAAAACAAATCTTCAGGCAGAAGGCTGGGGCAATCCTATGATTTGTTTTCCATCTTTCAGGGATCACTGTCATTCATTACCTGGTATCCAGTATACTGAAAACCATACTTTCATGTATCTTGTTTGTTTTTAATTGTTCAGGCTGCAGGATAAATCCAGTCCCTCTGACTGCACCTTGACCAAAGTAGAATTTCAGTCTTAAACTCTGCTTTTAAAAACCTATTTTTATTTTACTTAGAATTCTGGGTTGTCACTTTTTTTCTAGAACTTTAAAAATGTCATTTCATTGATTTTGTCCTCCATTGTTTTCTGGTAAGTTAGCCATTGTTCATATTTTTCCCCTCTGGCAGCTTTCACAATTTTTATCTATATCTTTTATTTTCAGCATTTTGAGTATAAAGTTCCTAAATGGTAGTTTTCTTGGCATTTAATCCTGTTTGGAGTTCAACAGATTTCTGGATTTCTAAGTCAATGTTTTTCCAGTATTCCTTCCGGTATTATTTTTCTGCTCCTTTCTTACTCTTTCCCTCTTCTCATCCTCCTGTTATTACATGTATATTAGCTCACTTGATACGACCAAAGTACCATGAAGCTCTGTTGATTATTTTTAATATTTTTTCCTCTGTTCTTCAAATTGGAAAATTTCCATTGATCTGTATTCACATTCACCTGCTCTTTTTTCTGTAATCTTGTTTTCCAGTCTGCTGTTAAGCCTATCCAGAAAAAGTTGCATTTCAGTTATTGTTTTTAATCAGTTCTAGAATTTCCAGTTAGTTTTTTTATAGCTTCCATTTCTGTGTTGAAACTATCTGTTTACTCATTAAAATAATATTTTCCTTTAATTATTTGAATATATATTTCTCTCCTTCCTTCCTCCCTCCCTCCCTCCCAAAAAGGCTACTTTACAGTCTTTATTTGCTAAATCCAGTATTTGGGCCATTTCAGGCTTAGTTTCTATTGATTGCTTTTTTTTTCCCTCCCCCACTATGGCTCCTATTTTTCTGTTTCTTTTTATACGTAGTGATTTTTTATTGCATTCTTGACGTTGTGGATGATATGATTCAGATATTGTAGATTCTGTTATCTTCTCTGAAGGGTTCTTACTCCAGCAGGAAGTTCAGTACTGTCTGATCACTTTGAACTTGTATAGGCTTGGTTTTAGTCTTTGTTAGGATAGGTCATGGAAAGCACGAGGTGTTTTATAAGATCTTCTAACTTGATAAGCCTCAATCTACAAACTATCTCTCCCTTTTAAATCTTGTCACGGCTTGGTTTTAGGCTTTGTATTTGTCAAGAATAGTGTTTACTGTAGTGTGTGATACCAATTTCTGCTCCTTTTCTAGGCTGCCCCACCAAATGCATCCCTGGGGAAGTCTCATCCCTCCAGCCTGTCTATGGAGTGGAGCATAATTTACCCAGCCTCAGACATTCCTGCTATCCCTGAAAATGAACACACAGACTTTTTCAGTCTATGGAAATACAGGGATAAAACATGCACACATGCATGTGCATACACACACAGAGACACACGCACATTGTGGAAATCACTGGTCCAGATCCCATAGAGTCTTTCCTCCATGAAGGCCCTTGCAGGTGAACATGAAGGTAAACTGGGCTGTAATCATTCCATGGCAGTAGTTAGATCAGAAATATAGCTCTCTGTCTCAGTGGTCACTCTTTTTTTTGTGTTCAAGATGAATGTCCAGAATATTTTTGTATGTCAGCTGGAGGCCCAGGGTGTTAACTAGATCTCTTCATTTTTGCTGGACTGGACCTCTAATGTCCCCCATTACAGCTTGACTTCTGGTGACTCTATTCCACTCCCAACCTTGTAACAGCTACTCTTTGGTAAGCATTAGATAATTTTGTCCTGTGCCAGGGATTCGTGGTGGACTTGCTTACGGTTTCTGTCACTGCTCTGCACAAATCTCTCCAATCTGATGCCCTTCCTCGGAAATTCCAGCCATTTTATATGCCCTGAACTTTGAACTTTGCCTCCTCAGCTTAGCAAGACCACCTTGCTCTTCTTGGATCCTAGCTTGGTGCACTACAGTTGGGAAATTGTCCCCAGGCAGAGAGCCAGTGAGTTTTCCTTATCCCAAGGATTACAGTCTAGCACTGCGTATTAAAGGTGATCAATAAATTTTATTTTACCTTCCTTCTCCCCCTTAAGGGGCATTGAGTCAGGGGAACCTAATGTGAGAGGTACACTAATAACTTAAAATTCTTTCATACTTTAAGAAAACAGGAAAATTTGAGATTCAGTTGTTTCCTAAAATTAAATTTATAGAGGCTGCATAGTTGGTTGAGTGGAGAGCTCTTCAGGGCTGGATCTTCTCACTTTCTTCTCAGTGCTTGGATAAGAAAGCTGGAACAATACTAGAAAGTTGTGCAGACTCAATAATGGAGATTATATAAAAACTGGTTTGATTCCTAGGAGGAGAAGACAACGATCGTTCAATAAACGTTTAGTAAATATCTACTTTAAAAATTGAATATTCAAAGAGAAAGCTAGATATGGTCTCTGTTATCAAGGAGCTTACAGGCGAAAGAACTATTTTGAAGCTTGCTTATTTATCCCTGGAGCTAGTCTTATTGCCCTCATGAGGCAAAATTACACTCTAATACCAGCAGTGCTGGCTTCTCAGAGGCTACAATTTTAAGCTTATGACACTTAAAGTTTTCCCCAGAAGGCATGCTTTTAAGTTAGTGTCTAGAGAGATCTTTGTAGGGTGGTGTAAAGGACCTCTAGGAATGAATTGGGAGGGCAAGGTAGTTAACCATTCTACCACCACTCTCTTGGCTCTTCTTTTCCTTATTTAAAAGAAAGTTAAAACTACAGCAAAAACATAAAATACTCATAATGCTGTGGTCACTGTAGGTGAGCCCTAGTGAGTGTTGTGTTTCCAGAAGTTCGAGGTCCCATACAGAGATTTCACTCTGTACTCATCTCTCTTTTACTCTTATCCATTCTCTTCCCACTGTCCTGGTTCCTCAATTCCTTCTTTCCTACAAGCCTTTCCAAGACCTACTCCCACTCATCTCACATCCTCCTTTCCTGGTCTGTTTGTTCCTTTCTCTCTAGGAGATAGAGAAGCAGCAGAAGAAGCCAGTGGTCTGAGATAATTATCAGTGTGTGGGTTTTTTTTGTTGTTGTTTTTTTAAGGGGAGGAGGGAGCATGGTTAGCAGTTAAAAAGAAATTTTTTGATACTCAAATGTTCAGATTTATCTGATCACATTGTGAAAGAAAGGTCAAAAAATGAAAATCTAGTAAAATTCTGATAAGATTAAAAGGATTACTGAATACTACACAATTAGACTCCAAACTGAAAAGACTAAAATTAAAGGGC